TTCTTGACTTGTAAACCCGGAGATAATTGCAGAATTTTTTCTTTCATGGCCTTGACTTGGACAGTCACCTTTGTTAAGCCATTGACCAAACCCGCATTACGACCCGAAGAAGACCTCTCGGATTGCGCATGCGCTTGTGAGAAAACTCGACCCTTGCGATGTGATAACGGCCGATTAAGTGTTTTCGATGTTCCCGCATTAATGGACGGGACAAATAGCCCTTTCAATGAGAGCGAGTGGAAAGTCCTTTCGACCGAGGATCCTCTGTTCAAAGATCTCGAGAAGCCCACCTCCCAAGCGAAAATTGTCTTAATTGACCCTCGGTGGATGTTGGGTGATGCAAACATGGCAAAATCATCATGCATGAACTTTCAAATGCGCATTCTGGAATAGCTTAGCTTGTCTATCCTTGATGAATGCATGCATGTTTGCGCTAACCCTCTTTGACAGGTAAAATATCCTCAAAGACTCAAAGAACATATGACCTTTGGAGCGTCTCCAAAGATGTCACAAAAATTTCTTCCGCTCCCCAAGTGGAATTGACACAAAGATGCTTTTTGCCGCTCGAGTTCTAATCCCAAGTGATAGAACACGAAAATTCGGGCACCGGGGAAGCCCTCATTATCATCACAAAAAGATGCCCCGAAAAAGGTCGGGTATTCGCGATGATACATCAAACCTCTAGGGTAAGAAATCCCGGTGTATTTCATCGATTTCTTTTAAACTACCCGGAAGGTAAATAGGGTGTTTCTTTGAAAAAGAAAAGCATCTTGACTAGCTGGTCAAGATATTTCATACGATATTCAAGAATAGCCTCGCTTGTCTATTTCTCCGATGAATACGTATGTCTTTGCACAAAAAAACTTGTCTGACAGGAGACACGTCCTTAAGAAGCAGGAACGTGCCCAGGTAAGTACATTTTACCCATGCCTGATTTCAAAAATCCATGTACCTACAATTGTTATGGTACCCTCTGGACATTGGATTGACCCCTTTGTTCACCCTCTGAACATCGGATTGACCCCGTTGTTCACTTTCCTGAGCATGGAACTGACTCCCTCTGTTCACATCAAATCCTCGGGCGAGGACCCCCAGGTACTTTGTTAAGACAAAATCCAATATCAAGGCGACCAAGAAAGGTTCTGGTCCTAGGCGAGACAAAATCCAATACGTCAAGGCGACCGAAGAAAGGTTCGGGTCCTAGACAGACAAAATCCAATACGTCAAGGCGACCAAGAAAGGTTCGGGTCCTAGACAAATGAAATCCAATCAAGGCGTAGAAGATAGATTCGGTCCTGTGCGAGTGATTTCCCGTCGAGGCAACCGAAGGTAGATTCGGTCCGAGACAAATGAAATCCATCAAGGCGACCGAAGATAGGTTCGGTCCTAGGCAAGCGATTTCCCCACCAAGGCGACCGAAGAAAGGTTCGGATCCGAGACAAACGAAATCCATCAAGGCGACCGAAGAAAGGTTCGGGTCCTAAATAAGCGATTTCCCCAGTCAAGGCGACCGAAGAAAGGTTCGGGTCCTAGACAAACAAAATCCAGTCAAGGCGACCAAAGAAAGGTTCGGGTCCTAGACAAAAACAATCCCTGTCAAGTCGACCGAAGAAAGGTTCGGGTCCTAGACAAATGAAATCCAGTCAAGGCGACCGAAAATAGGTTCGGGTCCTAGACAAGCAATTTCCTCAGTCAAGGCGACCGAAGAAAGGTTCGGGTCCTAGACAAAAACAATCCCCGTCAAGGCGACCGAAGAAAGGTTCGGGTCCTAGACAAACCATTTCACGTCAAGGCGACCGAAGACAGGTTCGGGTCCTTGACACACAATATCAACTATCTGGAATTACTCTACCCTTCGGCAAGGTAAGTAGCCCCATGTATGTTTTTATTTGCTTTAGCATGCATCATCTTATATCGCATCATAAAAATGGGACACCAGTTTCGCCAAAAATAACATTCATTGAACATGCATGGGCCAAAATTTAGGTGCCATTTTATCTTTGAACGTAACCTCTGCGAGCTCAATCTCTGCGAGCTCACCTTCAAAGAGGGGCAGCTGTTGACACATATTTTTAATTTGCCCAAAATTAATTGCACAAAATTTAAGAGTTAATTTTCTTTAATTCCTAAAACAAAAATATTTCAATTTAAATGCATTGCATATAGAAATTAGGCACATTTTGCATTAATAGGGTCTATTAGAGAATATTAATTAAAAAAAAAATTCGAGTCGGACCGACCCGGCCCTTTTCTTTTTTCCTTTCCTTCCCCGCATGGGCCCCGACCCACTCTTCTTTCTTTTTCGTTTTTCCCCCCCACGCGGGCCCGGCCCGCTCTTCTTCTCCTTTTCTCCTTCTCCCGCCGGCCGGCCCGACCCGGCCCGGCCCTCCTCCTCCTTCTTCCCCCGTCGCTCCGCCGCCCTGTTCGCCTCTCGTGCTCGACGGCACATGTGACGCACGGCGGCGCTATACTCCTGGCGCCTTATCCGACTGCAGAAGCAGGTCGGTGAGAGCGCCGACGGACCGGCATTAATTGCTGGGTCCCGTCCTCCCCTTGTCCGCTCGCCCTTATCCTCCTCTCTCCCGGCTCTGTTCTCTCCTCCGCATCCCGGACCGACACCCTCCGCACCGGCCTTTATGACCGCGGAATTCGCGGAGCCTAGGCCGGTGCAAGCCATCGTCACGCGGACGCCACGGAGAGGGAAGCCATCGTCCGTTGTCCGGTTATAAATAGCCAGAGAGAGAGAAGCCTTGGCCGGCCGTTTGACGAAAGAAACAGAAAGCAGAGAGAAGCCAGAGAGAAAGAGAGACTGAGCGAGACAGAGACTCGAGAGCTCTTCCGGCGACCGCCGAGCTCGTACCGAGACCATAAAAGACCAGAGAAAGAGAGGAGAGAGGTCGGCCGGCGGTTTTAAAAAAAAAACAGAGCGAGAGGCTGAGAGAGAGAAAGAGCATCGAGAGAAAACGGGGGAGAGAGAGAGCAAACCGAGAGGCTCGCCGAGCAAGAAGGAGAACCGGCGGCGTCACCGTCGCCACGGAGCACCTGGGAGACCCCCAACGCGCCGTCGACTCCGGGTGAGTCTCTCCGGCCGAGAACCGCCTCTGTTTTCCCCGTTTTCCGGCATGGTTGAGCCGGGACTCGCGCCGGCCTTTTCGCGCGAATCCCGGCCCATACCGACGCTTCGGCCCCGATCCCTGGCCACCGTCCGGCGAACCCAAGCCGGGAGTCGACCGGATCGCGGAGGAGGTCGGAATCCCCGTTTTCCACGCGCCCGCCAGCGTTCGACGAATGCCTCGACCGGGTTCGACGAAATGCCTCAACCAGTGGTTTTGTTCCATCGCCGGTCGGCGTAATCCGTGGTCCGACGGCGGTGAGTGGTACACCGTGAGCGGTCCTAGTCTGGTCGGGCGATTTGGGGGCGGCGGCTGGCTGGGTCGGCCGGCGGTCGGCCAATTCTGGCTTCGCCGGCGCCCCCCTCCCCGCGGGTCTGTATGTTCGGGTTGGATTCGACCCGAATCAACATATCCGACCCGGTCAACGCCCGGACGGATGCCCCGCACTCTGGGCCTGCCCGACCAACCCGGACATCGTGATCCGACCGGTCAACGCCCGGCCGGAACTCCGTTGACCCGGTCGGTTCCGACCCGATCCGGATTGACCGATCCGACCCGGTCAACGCCCGGGTTGGATCTCGCTTGGGACTCGGGTCTGCTCCGACCCGATCCGGATCAACCGACCCGGTCAACGCCCGGGTCGGTCGTTGACTCTGGGTCGGACTCGACCGACCCGACCGGTTATATTATATTATATTATATTATTATATTATATTTTTATATATATATATATTTTTAAAAAAAAGTTAATTAAAAAAATTTTTAAAAAAATTAATTTTTTTTCTTTTTCTTCTTTTTCTTCCGTATTTATTTTTTTTTAAAAAAAAAAATTTCAAATTTTTTTTTTAAAATTATGTGATATTTCTAAGTGTTTTGTTTTATTGTGATATTATTATGCATATTTTTAATACAATTGCATGAGTTGTGTTTTGAATGTCATCTGACTTAGTTAAGGTTAGAACCTTAGGCTGCATGAATTGTTGTGTTCTTGACTGCTGATCGTTTCTGATTATGCACTCGCTTGATCACCTCACATGTTAGGAGAAAGGTCCTAAAATCAATCTAAATTGCCTAACAAATGTTTTCATGAAATGAACAGGGGTAAAAATGCGATCAAAGGGCATTAGTTATCCAACTAGTGTAACCAAGTCCCCGAATTCGGTTAATCTCCTGGTTCGCGGAATAGGGTGATTCTCCCATCACCTTATTTGGGTTTCTAATCGACCCACCCCAAATCGATTAGTGGCGACTCCTTGATATAAACCACTTGCATGTTAAATACTTAAACCCTAAGTCGCGATATGGTATGGGCTTGGGAGGGCCCGAGTTAAGTCCTGAACCTAGACTTAGCACGTACCAGGCGAATCCTCCCTTTTTGCATGTTCGATAAAAAAGGGCTCGGGAGTTCGGTCGCGACAAAGTTAATGGCACAACAGGATCCGTGCAACCAGCCTTATTGAGGAGGAGTAGCCTTGTTTGTTGGCATTATTGTTGCATAGAACCAATAGAACCACAAGTTTTTGAGTGTTTAACCCACAAAATCATTTAAAAAAAAGACAGAATAAGACTCAATCAATTGCTCTTCAAGAGAAAGTTCATTCAAAGCAGACATTATCAAGGTGTACCCAGTGAGATGAGAACTTATAGGTTATAGTACAAAACTGTAACTGCACATAGACAGTCAACATCACTATGTCATCCTCATTTTAAATCCCGTTTGTCTTTAACGTAATTTTGTCTAGAAATATATCATAGCTGAAAATGACAGTATGGCATCATACCACAAAATATGTAGCAGCATGTAGCATGTATCATTAACTAACCAATGTCCAGTTTCATAATCAATTCTAGCAACAGCTGAAAGTAAATCCAAGCTACGAGTCTCACCTCATACAAGTAACTCTCGCATTGTGATCGTTTAGTGCAATAACGGATTCCCATCGACCGAGAGAGCTATCGAACTTCATAAATCGTAAGGTTGGACCCTGAATGCAACACCATGTGTAGCAAGTGTCACTAGCATATTTTGCTCAAGAATGACACTGGATACATGAAATTAATTTCTATAACAACTAATACACAAACTTTTAAGACTGTTTCTTCATAACAAGTAGGTTGGCCACACTAGACGACACTATGACTAATGTTAGGGAAGCTAAAACTAGGAGACAAGTATGGAAGATGGCTCTACCCAAACGGAAGCAAGCTGGGAAATCAACATAAAAGCAACAGGAACAGATGTATCATACCCGAGCAAGAACCACGTTGTTCTTCTCCAATAAGATATTATTGAATGTAGCCTCTGTAAAGTAGTCAATAACCAAGGGATCAACAAATTTAAACTGCTGCAGTGCAGAAAGTCTGTCAAAATATGCTCTTCTAACCCCTGTTGTAAAGCTGGTAGACACTTGTCGAGGCCACTTCTCCCTACCAAATTGGTTTAAAGCATCACTCGGTAAATTAATTTTCATTGGACAGCGGCCGGCAAACAGATATTTAACGACTTAGTCAACTAGGAATACTAAGAAAAGAAGTCTCCTTTTCAAGATCTTCAATCATCAAATACAAGCTCCAAGGACACCACGACATACGATTCCTCTGTACCAATTCAATACTTATTGCATCGACATTTTATTCTATCCTTCCATTTTCTTAGGCCGCAAAGCTAAGCGGTATCTGATGAGACAGTGGCAACCCTTAAAGTTTGCTATTCCACAGACACAATTCCCCTATACGAAGCTTTCCAGCAACTAAGTCACAGCACAAAAATCTGAAACAACTCCGATGAAGTCCCAAGTGACGACCTTCAACTGTGCACTGTACTTTCTCTCCTGATCATTTTTAATACATGCATACTCGATTCATCACATACATAAACGGACTCGCATCTTCTTAGCCTCGTGAAGGACACCGTCGCCACTGACCTATACAGTCGGTGCCAGACGGAATCGGAGTAAGCGACGCGCTTGAGGAATTTGCAGGACATTGCCATGCTCGACACCTCCCGCAGCGTCAAGTAATCCGCACAGCGGGCCAGCGCGTCGACGTCCACGTCGGTGATCGACGTCGCCGCCGCCGCTCCCGGAGAACAGCTACGGCTCGTCGACGGAGGCAGGTCCATCTTCAGCTCCGCCGGGAAACCCTAGCGCGCGCGGTTATCGGCGATTCCGACCGATGATCCGGCCGCAGGTGAAAACGATTCTCGAAGCTTCGGAGCTTTGATTGCGGGTGCTGCTATTTATAGCTTTCCATTAGCGGAAAAACGACGGTTTTCGTTTTAAAGTGCTGGAAAATTCACTGAAAGATTATAATATCCGATTTACTTTATAAGTTTCTCAAAAACTAATAAATATTTTCCCGTCAAATAAAATCATATTACAAGGCTACAAAAGTTAAAACATGGAAACTATACATGAGATAATTGCATAGTGTCTATTTTTACATTGATAAGAGGGTATATATTCGATTGCAGGGCGAATCGATTCTTTTTTTTTCTTTTTCGCTAACTTTTTACCCGATAAAGCAGGTATCTTCATTCTATCACTCCACCTTATGACAGTTCAATAGTTATCCTACTTGACTCTAACTATAACTAGGGCTGATTGGTTTCGAGGTGGGTAGGTTCCCAACTTGAAATCTCGAACCCATCTTGTTAGAAACGATTTCCAATTTTTAGAATCAGAAACTTATCATGTTTGCCTTGGAACCGACCTTGGAATCTGCCTTGTTTTTCCGAGCCAATTTCAGTGTTTACTCGATGACCTATTTTTTTTTAGTTTCATTTTTTACAGCAAAATAATATAAAACAACAAAATGATTCTAAATAAAAGATGAACAAGGGCAACTAAGCAAAGGTATCAAGGATTGCGAGGCTCAAATGAGTAAGGCTGAGCGAGCAACGAAGGAGGGTGAGTCACGAGCGAGAAAGAAAAAGTCGTAAGTGTCTGAATGAAGTTGGAGAGAACAGAAAAAAAAGGAGATAAAAGAAGATGCCGAGAGAAAAATTAGAATTTTTACACTTAAAGCAATTGCTTCCAAATTCAATTTGGTTCTCGAATGATTCTTCACAAGGAACCAAGAAATTGAAATCAAACTGATTTTCAAGGCAATCTAGTTTGGTTCCCAAGTAAAACCGATCAGGTTGCAAAGCCCTAACTACAACCATAGAATAGAAGTCTAGGGCTAAGGATGAAATACGAATAACACCATATTATCCATGTCGATTCGGTTCATTTCATCTTTCAATTAAAGGATCCGAGAAATTCACACCATCCTATTTCACAGTGATAGGCATTGAACAAAGCCAGCCACAGCTCAAGCATTGGCTCTCTCTCCCGCAAGACATTCAGCTAATACTATTTAATTTGCTAGTAGTATTGCTAGTATTGGCATTCGCCAAAAAGTCGCATTTCGTTCATACACTTTTGTAGATACGGGAATCCAATGATATCTTGATATATTTCCCTTCCGAGAGGACGACAAGTTACGATCGAACAAGAGATATGCAAACTCAGAGAAAAGAAACAATCAGTAGCAGCACGAGCACATAACTAATCAATGCATTCATGACTTATTACCAGTACATCTATCTACAAGGTTCTATTCTCTAGAATGACAAAGATAACGCATCATCTTTTAGGTAAGTAGCAGTAGTTATTGCTCCCTTCCAAGCTCTGCAGCTCAAAATCATGGATAGGAGGTGACACAGAAATAAATTTACAGAAGAACACACTAGAGCACCAATAACACTTTCTGAATTGCTTCCCCAAAGAATTAAAATATGAACACAACACTGTCGTGAACCCTCGACTTCTGGTTCTGAGCCACACATTCGGATATCCACATCAGATTCCTTATCTCCTGCTCCCTCAACCTCATATATGCGAAGAACACGCCATAATGGAACTGCAATAAAAGGAAAAACAAGTAAATGTGACATTGGCAAAACGCCAAACAACATAATCTCTTAAACTACAATTAGCTGTCAATCAACCAACGCAGAAAGGCAAACCTGCTGCTCGAACGCTAGGCACAGCCTTTTCACTTCCTCTTCATAAAATGCCTTGTCCAGCATCTGGCTCTCTCCATAAGATAACTTGGAGAAAATGGACTGATATGGAGGATATTTCTCCATGACACCGCGAACCTGCAAATTTACACCACATGAGACAATTTCAACTGCAACGAACGCATGCCCATACAGAGAATACGACGCCGTGCTGGCAATACAGAGCAACCACTTCCATGTTCTTATTTTGCTTACCACTAGCTAGTTAAGTGGTAACTTACTTGTGATGAACAACAAAGCAGGAATCAAGTTACATAGACAAGGGCATCTGTCTGGGGAAGATGGTTATCTACCACCAGATCCTACCAGTCCCATTTTATAGTAGAATGGTAATATACCTCATCTACAGGAAATGGACTCCCAAAATATATAATACTGAGGATGTCTGAAAGCTCAAAATTACCTGATCAATATCCTCACAAACAGCAAGTTCTTCATGGCCATAAGGATACCTATCACCAGACAGAAATTACCAAGAATTACTTACCACTGTAACATGCATAGAAATAATGCAGCCAAAACAACAAAATTGTTTCCAGAAATCTTACAGTAAACCAAAACTAGAGTACAACTTCTTCCGATCATCCCTGGTGAGCTCAGTGCCGATACTGCAGTCAAGTTACATTAACACCATCAGGAAGTTGCACAATATTGAAGTCATTGGAAGAAAGTAAAGGAAATGGTAAAATTGAGACCAATCCTTAACCATATGTCACCTGTTTATTGTTATGTTTACAGCCCTTCTATCAGCCTCAAACGCAAGCAGATCAGACATAATCTCTCCAGTGGCACCTCCAAGTTTCTATTTAGGAATAACACATGTAAGCAGTCATAAACTAAACAAAGAAAAAAATTACATGTTAATTGTAATATTACTGGAAAAACAACATATCTCCTCCAAGAAGGCAGCTATTTGCACCTGACAAAACCTGTAGAAGTCCTCGAGGTAGGCCTTGTAAAGAGTGTTTCTCATGATCTCAATGTTCATGTCATCCAAGTCCTACAGCCAAAAAAAAAAATAACATGCAACCTCAGAGATTAACCAATCTGAAGGTGGATATGCAGCTGATTGAGAAAGTATTATATGGGACAATATAAAAATATAAACAGAAACAATTTTGACAAATGCTGTCATCAATTGTTTAGTAGTTCCTCAACTGTCCAACAGTAACCAGCATCAATCCAAGCCCCAGGCATGACTTTCCCTTTCACGGTTGGTCAGGTTGAAGCTAACCAAAATCTAAAGTTCCTAGGAGTGTGAAATCATTGTCAATCCATTTAAAAGTTCAAGGATTTAAAATATGGTGCAACCAAGGTACTATACCTAACATGCACACTTATATGTTTGATGATACGGTGATAACCTAGAGGAAAAAACTGACAGAAATGTCGCAAAAAAGACTGGGAGAAACAAAAAAAAGTGAGATTAAATTGAAAGTAGTAACTACTCTACATGTTGAATTTATGCGGGAAACTTCCAATCAATTAAAGCCTTAAACCTTTTCTTTTTCCCTATAAAACCTCAGACTTTAAGAGCAACTGAAACATATTTCTACATTAGTACTTGTAGAACGATTAAAATAAGTTTTGATCCACTACCAGTAAAGCATTGTTTGAGTTATAGTGACAAAGTAGATAATAAATGAAACTCAGCTGCAAATAAAGAAGGGAAAGGAAAACAATGGCTCAGTCAAACCATCGGTACCTCTGACGTGATGCACTCAGAGAAATACGGAGCCAGAGGTGTGTCAACAAGAACCAATCTGTAAAGTTCTCGCATATTTTGAGCCACTGCCAGAGTTGCAATGCTGCAGAGTAGGTAAGGCAAATTAAGTACAACAAAGACTGAGAAGCCAAGAAAAAGGTAAAAAGGAGCCAAATAAAGTACAATACGGGCCTACTGAACCTTGAGAGTAATTGTGATTTGGCTCACACATTACCCAGTCCATGTCTACGAGGTTAGTGGGTTACTTACTTGCAGGACACGGGATTTATTTACCTAAGGTGTGTTTCCTCATCATCAAAAAGGGGAAAAAATTGAGAGATTAGCAAACTGAAGTTGTAGACATGACAAAATTACCTGTCAAACATACCCAATGGGTGGCATTTCTCCAGCAGCTCCTGAACGTCTCTTTCATGCAAGGTTCCAGTAACAATCAAAACAACATTGTCTATCATGTGACCATACCTACAAGAGATAGAGGAACAAAGGCACCAAGATGCCGTGCTAATTATTTTCCTTTATTTAAACTTCCAAAAATCATATTGTCTATCCTCCCACAATAATCATTCAACCAACCCAATGCTAACGAATGAATTAATAACCAACTGTAGATGTGAGCAATGAAATTCTGTACCACTAGAAGTGGCATAATTCTGGAAAATGAGATGATAAAACGGAATTTCAGCTGCTATAATCATAACCCAATCGCAGTCACAGGGTGCCAATTATGACAGCAACATAATAGAAATAAAAATCACTTTGATCAGGAGCTCCCTAGCAAACATTAGCTACCACTAGGACCACTACAACATACTTGCACTGCCACTTGGTGTATGCTTCAGCTTTCCACCGTGATATTAATTGATTTCCACTGCAAGTTAAAAAACTACACCAACTGCTATGAAATGCGTGTCGCACTTGCGAATAAGATAGTTTTCAAGTGTTCATTGCCTAAATCTCAAGTTTACATTTAACTAAGTCACTAAAAAATGCAAAAAGTAACGGAAAAGCTTGTTGTGTAGAAAGAAAAGGTCTCACAATTAAAGGTCCACAGAAATAGAAGCCATGAAGCTTGCATCCATGTAATTAAGTGTCAATCATAAACTTCTAAACTTCAACTGAGCCAAGCTTGAAAAGTGAATGCCAAAATGAGACTGAAGAATTAAACCACAAGCAGTCTATTTGCGTATTCCTTGACATAACAAGAAATGTGAACCACAGGACAAAGGATTATGTTGCCATGCAGTAAGAGTGGGAACATCTTACGTAATATACTCCAAGAAAGTTGACAATGGTTCTGTGGCTTGACAGAGCATCTGCTTGTATTCATCAACCAGTTTAAGGGTGCACTTTTCCACAATAGTTGTCGTATGCAATGGTGAAGGTTCTGAGAGACACAGCAATGAGAGGTTAAAATCGGTGACTTAGTTAGCGCATTTACAACAATAACATCCGCATCAATAACACCCAAGTCTTGTCCCTCTAATTGAGATCCTCTTGGGCCATCACGTTCTATTTTAAAATGGAAACAAAGGAGGAAGTAATCCGGCGGTCCTCCTCTAACCCCTTGTTGCGAAGAAGGATCAAACATTATCAAGGTCGTGACAACTGACAAGAACTAATATTCACATCAGACCATCCCACAGTCTACAAAACTTATAATTTTCAGCCTTCAGATCCATATTTGGCCACTGAATTAAAGAAAAAAATGCCGCAACTGTCAACCGTATGCATGTTTCCTCTATATATCTAATCTCATTACAGGTGACATGTGTCACGCGGTACCACAGATTCATGAGCTCCTCCGCGGAAATGGGAGCTCCAGCTATCAGAGCACTACACATCCCAACTACTGCTAGAAAAAGCTGCTGTCAAACCAAGAGTTCACATTTCGACCAAAAAAAAACCAAGAGTTCACATATACAGTTGCAATACAATGAAGAGCGATTCGATTAAGCTCTTAGCCGAATCACAACTAAATCCAATCTCGCATACGGTGCAGGATAAAAGCAACTGCGTGCCGACGAGCGCACATATGAACTCCAGAGAACGGGAAAATGAGCTCAATTGTTTAGAAACAAGCATCGACTCAACCAGAGTACCAAGCTAACATCCACTAACAACGGCGATCACCATGCTAAAGACTCCCCCGATGCCGAAGAATCCCGATTCAGGCGCCCGATCCAGGCGACCGACCGCAATTCGGCGCCTCGATAACTTCCATCCCACTCCCAACGTCATCCTCCATAAACTACGAGCTCCGACCCAATCCACAGGCGAGGAGAAGGAAAGGACGTACCGTTTTGGAGATAAGGACCGTACTCGGTGGCGGAGAGGTGCATCTTGATGTCGTCCAGGGTCTCGCACTGGCAGAGATTGTTGTAGTCGGCGGCGGTGAGGAGGCTCGCGCGGTGGCCCCTCACGATCGCCTCCAGATAGCCGCCGTGGATGTTGAACGTCAGGGCCTCGAACCCGTACATCTTCCTCCGATCGGGATTCGGGGTCGGAACCGGTCGAGTCCGGGCGAGATCGGGGACGGCGGGGGTGCGGCGTGGAGCGAATCGACGGCGAACAGGGACAGAAGAGGCCTCCTCCTCCTTCCACAGACAGGCCCTCGGCGATGCAGATCTCGTTAAGAGGGAGGAGAGAGAGAGAGAGAGAGAGAGAGATTTCGCGAGGTAAGGGACAAGGGGAACGGAGACGGGAGGGGCAGTCCTGGTAATTCACCTCTCTCGCGTGTCGAGCGTGCTTTTCCGAAATTGCCCTCTCCTTTTGCTTGGTTTCACAGTTGGACCCAGACCGGACCCGGACCCGGACAGCTTGTTAGCGGGTAGGGCCGGACTCTTGCAGGATCGGTGCGGCCCGCGTGTGCCCCAGGGGCCCGTTTTGGGCCCATCCTGGGCCTAGAAAACTATTCTCCTTGCCCCTCCATTATTATAAATACCATAGGTCCAGAAAACTATTTCCGGGAAATTATATTTCAATTTCCCGATATTTTGATGACGGAAAATTAATCGATCTATAACAATCGTTTTTCATATGCTGAAAACAACAAGATTTCCCTTTCTTGCAATAAGGAAACCACTTTTCCCCGAACCTGAGAAACGGTAAATTATATTCCAATTTCCGAAGATGTTGATCGTGATCCCGAGAAACTTGGTGATCGCGATTTGTGATCCCAATAAATAAATGAATCGACAGTTGTTGAATGACAGTTGTGACTTGAAGATGTCGAACGACCCTTTTCCTTTTCCCATGCTCTATGGATTTAAATGGAGAGATCACAAGGACCAAATGTGAAACGGGAGTCAAAAAAGCTGATAGCTTTATGTTGGGATAAACGAGTCAAGCTCGAGTGGTGAGCGAGTAAAAGTGAAGAAAACAGAAAGGACAAATTTCATGACCATGAAGGTTCGGTAAACTTTCAGTTGTCCCAACTCCCAATCTCTACCTTCCGAAACGGTAAGGTCCCCCACCTGAGGAAGGAGACCAGTTAGATATATTTCCCAATCAAGAGCGAACATCGTGTCCTGGGCTAGATCTTCTGTATCCCGGAAATGTTCAGACATGCTTCGAAAGACGAAAAGATAGAGACAAAGAGAGAGAGAGAGAGAGAGAGAGTCAAAGGGCAGCTGTTCCTTGCTGCTGCTGCTTCTGCTTCTGCACGACGAGAGCAACTCCATAACGACACATCATCCATCCCTGTCACCTCCACGTAGAGAGAGAGAGAGAGAGAGAGAGAGTTACGCCGAGTGGGACTCGGTGGAGTCAACCTGGTATTTAGATTTCGTGGATTTCACGTGAGATCCGCCTGAAAGTTATGCAAGCATTACGTGCAATTTGTTGCGGTTCTTGCGAGCTGACTTTGGGCTACAGATGTCCTGAGTCAAAATATTGGTACTTGGTAACGCAATCTTAAAACTCTTTGGTGCAAAGTTTTTCGTTTTCGCAGATGTTTAAAGCTCAGATCAACTCCCACTCATTTTTGAGATTTCGCAATGCTAGTTGAAGAGCTAATGAAATTTTTACTTTTTTTTTTGGCTTCCAACTATGCTCTCACTAGATTATCGAAATTCCAGTTTCACCTTTGCTTTTCCTGTGCAGATCTGCACCGAGGGATAGGACTCCTGTCATAGGAGGGCTAAGGACGAGCTTAGAACTAAATCGACATCGCACGACATTGGTCGCTTGGGGTCACGCGAGCTCAGTGGCCCTTGCTTGGGGTCGTGTGACGAGGTTCGGACGAAGGCAGTGCGACATGGGTCACACAACAAGAGGATCGAGGAGATGGCAAATGCGGCGGCAGTAAAGTTGTTCTCCCAAAACTCACTCAAACGCATTCCCGCTGCATCAGATGCCCTTAAAAACCTGTCGCTCGTGCGGGAAAAAACGTGCGTTACTAGCTTAACATATTTTTTTTTGTATAAATTAGGAATCTCAACTTTGAGTTATTTGTATGCTCGTGAATTCACGCGCATTACTATTGGATTGTCTTATTATCGAAAAAAGAGAGTACTTTTTTTATTTCCATATTGAAGTTTGTAAATTGCACATGATCGATGAAATGTCCAAACTTTCGATCGATTGAAATAAATTGATGTCATTATTATAGCATCCCCCTTCAAATTAACCTTGGGGCCTATATGCCTTTCCTCTTGAAGGAGGAGTCACATATAACGCATATAAATTGGAATAGTTCGCGTGAATCCACGAATTAATCAAGTCGAAAATTCAAATTTTTCCGTGTCGTTAAAGAAAGATTATCAAGGGCGTGAGGTCCCCCGATCCCTTTCGACTAGGCTAAATGGATAGAGATATAGAAGGTATGAAACTTAACACTATACAACACTTGCAAATGAAAAACGGGTTCTCCCGTTCTTCATTCATTTTTTACCCTTTTTGTAGACCGGGTCACCATCGATATTTCAGTGCCGTGTAGACAATAAGGTGTCAAAAAGTAGATCCTCCCCGCATATAGATGCCTTTCATTAGAAAGAGAGAGAGAGGGGTATGTTTATGAATGGTAATCGATCACGGAGCAAAAAGTAGCTGACTTCTCTTTTAGCCAAAAAAAATAAAATAAAAAAAAAACGTAGCGAACTTTCTTTCGCTAGAGAATATAAGCACCCGATCAATCTTCACCGACCGTACCAATATTCGCTTTAGATGCAAAAGGAGCAATCGAAAGCAACGCATGATGGGTGCTATCGATTTCCATTAATGACATTGTTTAAGAGCTAATTTTGCTGCTCAAGCTTACCTTATTTAGTTTCATTTGGGGTGTGTTCGTGTACGCTTTTCTTTATTGCTTCGTGCTTCCCCCACAATCATTGATTGTTCTAGGAGTTCCAAATTAGGGCACGGTTGGCTTATGGAATTTCCTAAAGAGGAGGACGAGAATCTGTGCTGCGGATAAAGGGGGGGAAATGCCGCCAGGAAAAGGGAATCGGAAAGATGTAGAAGGCATCAGAAGAATGTTAAAAAGAAAGGAACATTTCTAAAGCCATTCAAAGTAAAAAAAATAAAATGTAGATAAGGCTGAAGACCGTACCACAATTAAAGTTGCCTTTTTTCTTTTTCCATTTATTTTCCTCTTTCGTTACTTAAAAAGATATGAGGTTAATGTCAAGAGAAACCCCCAAATTATTACACCTACCCAAATTAATCCTTTAACCATGAAATACTCCAAATTATAACATCCGTGACAAATGTTAAATTTTACCGTCAAATTTTTGAGTTGGATGGCACGTGGTAATTGACGGGCATATCAATTTGGAGTTTCACCCTTCATCTTTTGTAGTTTTTCGTAATATTAATCAAATTTAACGAAGAGTAAATTTATCACAAATGTCATAGGTATATCAGTTTGGGGTTTTTGATTGTCAAAAAAATTAGTTTGGAGTAAATCTGTCGTTAGTGTATCGATTTAGAATTTTTCGTGATATTAACCGAAAGATTTGCGATTTTCAAATAAAGCAAACCCCGTATATATTTTGAATCGGTGCAGAGTAATTTCATACTTGGCCCCCGATAATCCGAGAAATTATGGCCGTGGGCGATTGTTGTACAAGGCCGGCCGACACCTTAGAAAAGACATTTCGTCATGAATCACTTCCCTAGAACTTTCCACGCCTCAATGCATTACAATTTCCTTTTTTGAATGTGCCCCCTCCCCCACAGTAGAAAATAGCGATGAGATTTAGATCGATAAATGCCCAAAGTGCACAGGATTCGCGGCTCTAGGAACTAGAAGAGGTCGCCAACGCACCCTCCCTCACATTATATTATTCCCATAAACCAGGGTTGGATCGCCATTGGCGGGGCCGACCTCCCACAAATATAATAACAATGAGCACAATATTCTCCTCACCACCGTTTAATTCCAAACATTAAAATAACTTCCCATGGACCCGATATTTCCTCTTTATTAATTTCAAAAACCCGTTTCGGGTTTATCGAGCTCGCCCATAAAATCCTGGAACACTTTTTTCCCTCGCAGGATCTCTTCGCCCGCACAGATAAAGATTGATTCGGTCATTATCGACGCGCCGTGCCATATCGAATATCTCCCGCCTACGCCCGCGCGATTGACTTGGTACTTAGTTTCGGCATCCTCTCTCCCTCTTTTTTTTTTTCTTCTTAAAAGAGAGAGAGAGAGAGACCAAAAGGAACAAGTCAAGTGAAATCGGGAGAACTTTGGGATTTACATAAAAGAATGAAGAGAGAGAGAGAGAGAGGGAGAGACCAAAAGGAAGAGGGAATTAAAAAAAGAAGAGGAAGAGAATGAAAAGGAAAGGAAAAAGAGGAGAGACTGTTTTCTTTCCCTTTGGCCAGAGAGAGAGAGGACTTGACCTGGAAGAAAAATCCGCTGTTTAGGTTGGGAGGCAGCCCATTGGAATGCCCAAACAATGGCAGCCCCCGGTTTTCACTATCCCAACGAAACCAACCCCCTCCTCCTCCTCCTCCTCCCTCCTCCTTCCCCTCCCATCATCATCATCATCATCTAATAACCCCAACCCGTCCCCTCCCCTTTATATTGGGACGACGACGACGACGATCGTGTTCCTCGTGCGAATCCCCCCTCCCCCCCAGGCCCCCCGGGCTCCTTTGTCCGCCGCCCGCCGCCCCGACAAGAGATGCGAGGGCTCGCGCGCCTGTCCTCGGTACGTGAGAATTCCCGCGGCTAACCGATTTAGGTGCGCTGCGCCGGCTTAACCGTCCCCTGTTTCGCCTGCCCTTTTCGTCGTTCGTCCGCCCGTGTCGAAAGGCGGGGTCTTTTCGCGTTTCCCGCGGTACCCAGATTGCTGTTTTGGATAAAGGTACGGTCTTTCGTAGCACTGGTCTGATTGGGGAATCTTTGTTTGGCTCGTTTGTTCGGTAGAAGTGAGCGGAGCGGAACCCGGCGCGGTTGCTTGCGCATTTCTGGGTGCTCGGGCGCTTTCGGGTGCGGTAGATTTCACGCTCTGGAGGGGGGGCGGGGGCGATTTGAGGTTGCGGCATTGGAATTTGTTGGGGGGAGGTTTTGAGTTGTTGATGGGGATTACCACTGCGGCTGATAGAAAAGGTAAGGAGTGTCACGAATTGTCGAGAGACAGTAGCGCGAAGAGGAATAGCAGATCGAGAAAGGGCCGTCGACGCCAGAAAAAGATGCTGCCGATACAACGGCTGTACGATACTTGTCGGGAAGTTTTTGCGGAAAGCGGAACCAATATCATACCGTCTCCTCAGGATATAGAGAGGCTAAGGGCGGTTTTAGGTATGTTTCTATGTGTGTCACGGGCGATTTTGCTTTGTGCCGATATAATTGTGTGAAGGTTTTGTGGTAATTCTATGTCATGATGGGGGATTATTGGATTGTCCCCTCGAGTTGTTTAAAGATAGAGATAGATTGGTATTGTGCGGTGTATTCTGATTGAGATGAGAAATTTAATGTGCGTGTAGGTTAACTTACTGTCTACAAGTGTGTTAAACTGGAGATCTCTGACTGTTTTCTTGGAATGGTTTGGGTTACTTTTGGCTTGCTGATTTGGTGGAAAACTTGATTGTGCTGTTGATGATATCTACATTTGTTCTGGCTCTTATATCATTTGATAAAACAATTGCATTTCTATATTGGAAAGCTTGACATTGCCATCCCGGAATACTTTCATTAAGTCTGAATTTCTATTGAGTGGACTTTGTTGTTGTGAGAATTCCTAATTAATGTGTTATTGGGAGGGAATTATGTCACCATAAATAGAGACTAAAGCAAGTGTTGGATCAAAGCTGGTGTTCAAGAACTTATTATACTCCTGATTATGAAACCAAAGATAACGATATCTCCGCAGCATCCGGGGTAACTCCTCAACCCAGAGTTCCGCCTGAGGAAGCAGGGCCTTGTTTAGGTCATCCATAAATGGCATCTTTTGTGCTGTTTAGGTCAAGAAAAGGGCTTCCTTAGTTTCCCTTCGTAGTCTCAACATGATCGACATTGCTTGTCGTTTGAAGCCTTAAGCAGCCAAGTTTTTTAGTAATCAAATGCTTAGTCTTAAATCAAGTTCAGTTTTTTTTTTTTTGGCCATATCAAATCAGGTTCAGTTTACTCATTCGCTGTCAAGCTATTGGCAAGTTCGATATTTTGTTTGAGGTTAGCTGGGATGTGAGATAAGCCAGAAACAAGAGGTTTGGCCAAAAAAAAATTAAATTAATAACAGGTGAGAGAGGAGTGACCACCAAATGGTGGTCTGGTTGAAAGTACGGTTACAAATCTCAAAGGATATGGTCTAAAAGTAGAATTTTATCACGGTATATATGGTCCCAAGTTTTTATGGATTTTTCCTCTGTTACGAGGGTTGATGCAAAGCCATGATGTCTCAAAATGAGGAGGCCATACAGAAACTTATTTTTATTCCTCTGAACTTGACTTGCTTTTTGCTAGTCCAGAAAAGGAAATGCATTCCATCATGTTGTCTTTCCATGAGATTTAGTCAATAGAAGTTCTCGATCTTGGCATAAATTGCTCTTGAATAACCTGCTGGGTGGTGCATTTCATTCCTTTGCCAGAGGAAACTACATGCATTCTGTTTTTTGTTTTCCATGAGATAAACATAAAGTATTTTTCTTGAAAGTGGGAAGCACTGGAGTAGGAGGTGAAGTCTTTATGATTGGATGATTAGCTTACTTGTGAGGCATAGGGCATTTTCTTTCCCTTTGTAATTTGTGGGATGCTTGTTGTTGACGCACTTTTTAGTAGCATTTTTGGACACGATAGATATTTGCTTGCAAATATTTTCAATGATGTTTCTGCTGAAAGTGCACTTGATACGGTGGTATGGCTTGAAATAACATGGACACTGGTTCTAAAATACTGATGCCACCAGCCTTTTAACTTATTAATAATGTGCTGACCTTTGCAGATGGTATTAGACCTGAAGATCTTGGTCTGACTCCTGATATGCCATACTTTCGGACATCTGTGACTCAGCGACACCCAACTATTACGTACCTGCATCTCTGTGAATGTGATAAATTTTCGGTATCCAACAACTCCTTCCCTTTTTGTTTTTCTTGTGGGCATTCAAATCAATGGTTCATGAAACAAAAGATTGGGAATCCTGTTGTGCTGACCAACCATGGTTTTTTTTGGATCTTACAGATGGGAATCTTTTGTTTGCCACCTTCGGGTGTCATTTCTCTACACGATCACCCTGGAATGACGGTTTTCAGCAAGCTTGTTTTTGGGACCATGCACATTAAATCGTATGACTGGGCGGTTCATGACCCAAATACGTCTGCGGCAAATTCATCACACAGTATGCCTCTTTCCTAATTTTATAGAGCAAGCTGATTTTGTCCAAACTCTTTCAAATGCTAATATTCACTTGTAGACATTGCTTAATTCATCTATGAATTTCTGCATTCTCTTTGACATCCCACTTTCTGGCAAATAATAAATTGTTAGATTTGTTTCTGTTACTGGATGTTAAATCTGAGTAAATCGTTGGCCTACGCATGGATAAAATCTGATGTATTTTTTAAGTAACTGATATAATGCCTGCAAATGTTAGTACCAAGTTGATTTGAATGAGTTGCTCCGGAAAGCTTAAATCTCTGGCTTAGGGCATCCTGGTCCAATATTTTGACATGATGTCATCTAAAATTTGCAGATGTCCTGACCATTACTAGTAACTCGGGTTACCAGGAAGCTTTTCTTAAGAACTGAATATTGGAATTTACCGTATGATGTATAGCATGCATTGGAACAAGTAACTTAAAATGTCTCGGTGTCTTCGTTTCTTTCCAAATGCAGCTGTGCCTCCTGGAGTACGTGTAGCAAAGGTGAAAGTGGATTCCAACTTCACTGCACCCTGCGACACGTCCATACTCTACCCATCAGAAGGAGGCAACATGCATTGCTTCACGGCAGTAACGGCATGCGCGGTTCTTGACGTCCTGGGTCCGCCATACTCTGACCCCGACGGCCGACACTGCACCTACTACCACGACTACCCATTCGCCAGATTCTCAGGTCTGTGTCAATAATAAGTTCTAAAACTAAAGTTTGCTCTTCATCCTGCTGTTTTCGTCTTGTTGTTGTGCTCAACGTTTTCCTTCCGCAATCGCAGTTGCCGGGGTTTCGGTGCCGGAAGAGGAGAGAGATAAGTATGCATGGCTTGAGGAGAGGGAAAAACCCGAGGAATTGGCCGTGGTGGGAGCAATGTACGGAGGCCCAATGTTTGTGGAGAATTGATGGTCTTTGGAAAGATTGTCCCCATTACATTCTTCACCTGCTTAATTCTCTGTGAATGCTTCCGATTTTAGATAGCAGTTCAGACTTTGGGTTCTTTTCTATGAAGTTCTTTCTCTCTTCTTTGGGGCATATGAACGAGGCACTTGGTGCTCCTTCTCCTCCTTACTAGCTTCTTTATGGTTTCCTTTTCTTCTCGTTACACAGCTTATATGTACATAAAAACACAAGCGAACCGAATGGAGTTGCCTTCTTCCTGCAGAGCAGAGAGGAAGCATGAATTTGTCTTGAGAAGATAATGTCAAGACTGCAAATTTGTTCTCTATGCGTATACGATATCGAATGCTGGGTTAACTCTCATGGATTACAATCTCTCAACCGTGAAAATCAAGAGTTCTTCTCTGGGAGGATTTGCCTCGGAACAACTGGGAGAGCAAATGTATTCGCTGAAAGGATATAGTAGAACACATGGATTTCTTGAAAGAACTTGAAATCTTAGCATGTAATCACTTTGAAGGCGCGCACGTCGTCGCATCACACTCATTTTCTTTTCTATACAGAGATTTCAACGGGGATGGCTCTTATCCCTTTACCATCCAGATCTTTAGGCATTGTCTACGCCTTCGCATCGCATGATCGAATTCGATGCGTTCTTCTTGCTACACAAGATCGGCTTATGAAATGCAGGAGGAAAGTGTCGCGCACGTGTTTTTGTCAAGTTGTGATCGGTAGAGTCTCGATGATTTTTCAGCTGATTAAAATCCAGTTGATCAAACATAATTTATTCCATGTGATTGTGCAATTGTAGACGTTTTATGACTCTTCGACACAACGATGACATCATCCGAGCACGATGCTTACGATTACGCAGCCCCCACCATCTTCTTCCACCATTTTCATGTTAAAAATATTAGATATTTCGCGCCGCTGTGTTATTAATTGCTTCTTGATTTTGTTTTATATCTAACATGGATTAATCATCCTTATTAAAAAAAGTCATTAATATCTCCTAAATGAACGTGAGGACGACATTTAGCGTCAATTGTATCTTAACTTGATAATTTTTTTCTATTAACTTATTAAATAGTGGGAGAATTCCCTCTGAAATATATTCGCTAAAATAAAAAAAGACCTGTTTTTTCTTTCACCGCTCCTTCGTTTACCAAATCAATTAGAAAACCAATTGAAACTTCAATCAAACGAAGAAGTTTCAAATCCTAACCCCTTTATTCTAGTAGTGATGGGACATCGTCGGTGAGCGTCGCCTTTAAACTGTCGTCGGTCGACCTTGACGAATCGGTCATATGCTAGCAGCATGACTCTGGCCTCGTTAATTATATGATTAAGAAAGGGTTAGGAGACCCGATGTGGTGCTGTGATGCTAATTCAGCTGTCAATTAAGAATTATTCCAACAGGGTTTTGGCTTTCAAATCCTCTGGGGGAGAACCATTGAACAGCGTCGTTGCTGTCATGAGGTGAGCTTAGTAAAAGCTTTATATTAATATAAGGATGACCAAGTTTGGTAAGAGCAAATTGGCTCCAGGTCTTTGAAAATGTGTGGTTGAATTGCCCAGAAGCTTCGGTCAACATCAATGTCGACACCTTTGCAAATAAAAGAGGAGCAGCCCTGGTAGCGGGGCGTGTTGGCTCTCTTCAAGGTGATCTCATCTCCTTCATTGTCCCGAAAAATAGGGGCTCATGTTTCAAGTTTTCAATGGTACTACTAATCAATGACTCTTGTAGAAAAATAAGGGAGCTATGCGATAATATCAAGAGTAACACCGAATAATATCAATTCTCTCAAACGGCTGGAACGAAAACGTGTTCGTTTATGTGATTAGTATATGATGAGACAAGTCGATTACTTTTAAACAAAATGGTTGTGTCAAGAGACCCAACTTTTTTATTTGAAGTTGAAAATGGATCTCGATTTTAATGGGCTTACTTCGCATATGAATTAATAAGTCGTGAATTACGAGGTACGTAACTTTTTTATGAACACCTTTCTCCTTGCTACCGCATACTTACAGTACGAAACTCAAAAAGTGTGTAAATATGAGTATGGGATGATTATTTATACCAACTAGAAATCTAGAAAGCACAAGCTCAAATGACAACTTACTTTTCCCAGCGGAAACTCGTTAATGAACTTCTTAAAACCATTTGATAAAGTATTCCATTTAACGGTTATATTATGTGTAAGAGTTGATAGAATCTCAAATTCGGAATCATATCGCATCGTTCCTTGTAAATATCTAATCATCGTACTAAACGGTGATTGCGTAGTCTGTCTTCTCCACGTCACCGATATGATCGATACAGAAAGTACTTTCTCATGTTCGAAGAGTAACCCTTGTGTTAAATGAAGTAATTCTGTCAACAAAGTCCAATGGCCTTCCTAGCTAATCTCACAGAATCACTGACCTTTTAGTATAAAAGCTATTTAAGCTAAACATGGAATGCAGACAGACACAGTTCTTCGCGTGCCCACATGAGATCTGAACAAATTGTCTTCCTTGAAGAAGGAACAAGATGCGAAGCTGAAAATCAGGTCAATGAAGAAGGACAGCGATGGGTTTCGAGTTTCAACCCTCGCGTACAATGAGCGTATTGACCGGAAACTTGACGATGCAGCACCGGGTTGCTTCCTTTCAAACCTTATAATATTCTTGAAACCGAATGCCCACCGTCCGCCGGGACTGCTGGATCACCTACTCAAACCCAGTTTGACCATCTGCCCCATGTGACGTCTCCTCCCTCTGTGCAACGCAATTCAATACAGCTGAAACCTTCAATCACAATCTTATTATCAAAATAATCACGCATCATGTAGCTGCTTTCAACTCTCTCTCTCTCTCTCTCTCTCTCTCTCTAAAGGTCATCTCTGTCTTAAACGGCGAAGCGTTGAAGTTAAACATGGGCTGTCTTCTTCGCGTTGTGCTAAATTCTCGCTGTGAAAAATGGTATTAAAATGAAGGAGCGTGAGGGGGTTGTTGACATTTTCTGTGCTTCCTGCGTAAGGTGATGTGTGATACAGATAAGCATTTGCTAGTTCAATTCTCATCTGGACAAATGGGGTTTAAAGTCAACTTACAACCAAGTTGCCTTGCTAGCTTGCTAGGGTTTTCGCGAGTTATAAGAAGAAGGCGCCATTGAGAGAGAGAGAGAGAGAGAGAGAGAGAGGGGCTATAACACCAGAAAAAAAGAGATGTTGAAGCTTGTTGAGAAGGATCCACCACATCCCCTTCAAATGCGTTTCTTCGATATCCTTCAACAAGAAGCTCAAGAAATTTCCTCCTCAAACTCTTCCAATGAAGAGGCCGAAGAACCTCAGCTCGTGTCTCTTTGCCTCGGACGTATGAATGACAAGAAGGAAACGAGCGAGTCCGACGATCCTACACAAGACATCAAGACCAGCCTCACTCTCGGGTTGGACTTCAAAGGTGAATTCTCGTCAAAGCTCGCACCAGATCCTCATCACAAGAGCCAGTTGGAATTAGAAAATCCTGATGAAGAAGAAGGGAAAGAAACTTGTCTGTCAAGTAAGACTCGGAAGACGACTTGTAATGGTGAAGATAACGAGGTTTCACAGCCAGAGCAAGTGAAGAGAGCTAGGGTTTGTGTGAGGGCCAGATGTGACACAGCCACGGTTAGTACTCCTTTTTTGATGTGCATCCTCTTTTCTTGAACTCAAAGGCATATGCAACTGTACGTCGCAGCTGCAAACTTTCGGCTAATAGTCTAATGGTGTGTGTCTGTGTACAATATTTGCGCAGATGAACGATGGATGTCAATGGAGAAAATATGGACAAAAGATTTCCAAAGGGAACCCATGTCCTCGAGCATATTACCGTTGTACGGTTGTCCCGGCATGCCCCGTTAGAAAACAAGTAAAAATTTCATGTTCAACCAACATTATTGCTTGTGGCTTATATAGCGTCTTGAATGCTCTTGCTAAAAGGGGGTTCGCCCATAATTCTACGGTGTCGAGGGGTATTGTTCTTGAGGGTCGTTGTTTATCTTAAACATGTCCAATTATGTTGTGAACCGACCAAAATGTTATGAAACACTCTTTGGCAATAAAGTGTGTAGTTTACAATACTTTACGTTAAAAAGATCAATAGCTTTAGGATGGATTGTGACCATCAGATTTCGTACATTGAAGCACCATCAACAAGCTTGGCTAAGAGAGGGCTAACATATGAAGCATTTGCCATGAGTTATATTGATGTTTTCAATTTCAAGAATTTGTTAAACTATTGAACTAAGAGCATAAGAGATTACTCTTTCAATCTCCAAAGGGCTTACGGGGTATGGACTCATGCTAAATTCTCGCATTCAAATCATAAGGTCCCCAATTACAAATATGAGGGTGGGTGGAGCTTTATTGATGCACATGGGACGGACATGGTGATTTTCTGGCATCCGTGAGGATTGGTCGAGCTAAAAAATTCAGAATTCCCCTTATTATAAAAGACGAAAAGAAAACGATATTTCGCTCTGGCAAACTCAATTTTACCTGATCATTCTTCTCGATTTCATTTTCCAGGTCCAAAGATGTCCCGAAGACATGTCCATATTGACCACGACCTACGAGGGCACTCACAACCACCCACTTCCCATTTCAGCCAGGGCCATGGTTTCCACCACCTCGGCCGCTGCTTCCATGCTCCTGTCTTCTTCTTCAACCTCGACCTCCGACCAATCCAGCCTCTCTGGTTCCACGTTCCACACAGGCCTAAGCTTCAGCCCGTATGACAGTCATTCAAGAAGCAGGCCCTTCTCGTTCCACCCAAACCCTTACTCGGCTTTGAACCCAACAATCACTCTAGACCTCACCCATGATGCGCCATCCACTTCGACCATGAGCCACTTCAAGCCCAAGTCCAACGTCGGGCCGACATCTTTATGGGGCTACGATTACACGAGTGGCCGTCCCATGTTGTTGCCTGGTTACGTTAGGGCCCAAACTGGGCCAATTGGACAAGAGAAGCAGCCGCAGCAAGAGCAGATGAATCCCAGCACCACCGTGGACAAGGACCAACAGATTTATTCTCAACAGTCTCTGACGGAGACCCTGACCAAGGTGCTCACGTCGGACCCGAGTTTCCGGTCGATTGTGGCGGCAGCGATTTCGTCCATGGTTGGAGGCGATAAGGCACCTACCGGCCAAGGCGGAACGGGAAGATTTGGCCCGGCCGGACTATGAAACATCAAAGAGAGATGCAACGATGTTCTCTGTTTTCCCCTAGGTGATGAGCTGGGACAAGATTCTACAACAAAAAAAATCCTTCTCTGGGGATAAAAAAATGCTAGTTTGCGAAAATTTGTAAGTTCCGCAGATGTTGATGACTTCCAATAATCATGAAGGCATAAAACAAAACTAGTTAATTCTAGCTCGAACTGCCTGCAATTCTGGTCTCTTGTGAAGATGGGCAAATGGATATTGGATTGCCCAGTGGTACTTTGTTCACATTGATGTCGTATACTAAGCCACGACAGCGACATAACTCGAATGATAACCGACTAATACCAAAGACAGAAGAAAGACGTAAGCCGAAACCGAGTGCAAAAGCACAAACATGGATGGTGTGGGCTTGTATAGCGGCAAAACGAATCTGGTGCAGTTCATCTAATCCGTCAATATTTTTTTTTTGCTCTTTGTTCAACTGGAATGAGGTCAAATTCATGGATCATGTCGCTGCATTTGCTGTTACTTGGATAGTTCTCTTTTGTTGACGTTATCGTTGGTTCGCAGTAGTCACGTAACAATTAGGAGAGGGTGTTGAGCTTGCGCGCATGAGTTTGGGTTGAACCAAATATAAAGTTAGATTTCGCCAGTCTCTTCGCGCATGAAATATGTGCACTCTTGAGGCTCGCCCGCCTCGACTTTTCCTTCAATTCCCTCTCCGGAACCTCACAATGCTCGAAATACTCAGCCTTCAAGGTAATCTAATCCTCAGTGCGATACCTCCAGAAGCTCGGGACTCTAAAGAGGCTGGTCCAGTTGATTCTCGGAGACAATTGGTTGAACGGCACAATCCCTTCGTCTATAGGCAACTTGAGCAACTTCACATACCTCTATTTGCAAGGAAACAAATTATCGAGTGGATCGGTTCCGTCAGAAATAGGAAACTTAAAGAGTGTCACTCATCTGCATTTTAGCTCGAACAATTTCAGTGGACAAATTCCCGTTGAGTTTGGTCGTTTGACCGCGTTGCGTTATGTCGATCTCCACAACAATTCTCTTTCTGCCACAATCCCTGAATCTCTTACCGGGAAGTTGCACTTAAAATCCATCAACTTGCCGTACAGTTGGTTCACAGGCCCGATTTCGGATCACCTTCTCACTGCTTATTCACGTAATGCATTTCTTGGCAACAAAGGCCTATACATTATGAAGGGTCGTCCTCCTTCAAGAAGTGATCGGACTATGGTTGTACTTGTTTTGGCTATATTCCTAGTGTTCTTGACGGTTCTTGGTTCTTGCTTCCTCTTAAGACGTGGAATGAAGAGGAATGAGACAAAGGAGACAACAGAAAAGATGGAGATTTCATGTCCACATGGAATTACGATGGGAAGATTGCATATGAAGATATAGTCAAAGCAACTGAAGACTTCGACATCAAGTATTGCATTGGGACTGGTGGTTATGGTAGAGTTTATAGAGCAGAATTGCCCAACGGGAAGATTGTGGCCTTGAAGAATCTTCATCGTTCGAAGCAGAGGACCCGTCTTTCAACAAGAACTTTAGAAACGAACTGAAGCGCTCGACAGAAGTGCGACACCAGAGCATAATTAGGCTCTATGGTTTCTACTTGCACCAGCTATGCATGTTCTTGATTTATGATTACATGGAGAGGGGGAGTCTATTTTCCACATCGAGAAATGACGTCGAAGCAATGGAACTAGATTGGCCCGAGAGAGTGAATGTCATCCGGGATGTGGCGCACGCCTTGTCTTACTTTCACCATGATTATGCTTAGCCAATTGTTCATCAAGACATATCTAGCAACAACATATTACTCAACGATGAAATGCAAGCTTTCGTATCCGATTTTGGCACAGTGAGACTCCTGGATCCCGACTCTTCATCCAATCTCACTGCAAATATTGTTGGTACTTATGGATACATAGCACCAGGTGAGCAATCTTCAATTGGTTTTACTGAAAAGACAGTGTTACAAGGGTAATCAACATCGTTGAAGCCCCCTCATGCATTCCAGAACTTGTTTTGGCCTTATTAGACTAATATGCAGCAATTTTACGGCATTCCTTCATGCTAAATTTCAATACAGAAAGAGCTGGACATTCCTGCTGCCTAGACCTTGGTTTATTCATCCAACAGCCCAAACAATTTCTAAACAGGGTGACAATTTCACAGGCTGCTTTGGCCAAAATTATATGAGAGAGTTTTCTTATTTCCTACCGTTGATTCGATAAAGATATGTTTTATTACATGCAGTCACTGAACAAAGTTAGTAAACAAGTTCCTATGCTATGGATCATTAAGAGCAGGATTTCAATGATGATACGCATTGAAGGCTTTGATTAACATCCAGGTGTCCCTCATTTGTAACAGATCACGTTAAGTGATACCTAGTTTCAAAATCATCTCTGATGTCAGGGTTCCAACTCTAAGATATATATGAATGTACAACTTTGCGATTTTCTTTCTTTTTCACAGAGCTTGCTTACAGTTTGGTGGTTAACTAGAAATCTGACTTATATAGCTTTGGAGTCGTGGCGATGGTAACACTAATGGGCAAGCATCTGGCAGAGATCATCTCGGTGCTATCAACCTCAGAAGGAGAAGATATCATGTGACTCAACATGTTAGATCCGCGCTTGCCTATTCCCAGAAAGAGTTCTGTCGTGAAAAAAAATTGTTGAAGCGATTTCTCCGGCACTTGCTTGCTTTCGTGCTGACCCAAAGTCACGTCCAATGATGAAACAGGCTTCTGAAGCTTTTTTGGCTCGAAAGATACCAATGATCGAGCCCTTCCATGCAATCTCATTGGCGCAGAGCTGACAAAATCTAATTAGCACATCAATGTTTTCACGGTCTACTTAACAGTTAAATCGACTAAGTACATTCTTGATACAGAAGAAGAAATTGATATCTTGGATAAATTTCATAGTTCAGGGTATCCTCTTAAGCTCTTCTCCTGTCTGAAGGAGACACAAGTGTGACTTAATTAATGAGTGAGATTAGTGGGACCCAAAATGACCATTTAAAGGAAGAGTATCATCAGACGCCACGTGTATCAGAAAAGAACCGGTCACACATCTACTTCGTCGAATCTTTTCTGATTTTCCTATTACAAACTTCATTACTTTTGTCGTTTTTTCGTTATTAAATAATCGATGCAAGTTTTCCCATTGTATTCATTGATATAGTGATTATCTGTTCGTTTTGGTTGATTTTTTTTTTGGTCGAAATTTTGGTCGATTGAACGGGCATATGTTTCTTCTCGTTCCGTGCTCACTTGTAAGATTAACTGAACCAAACGTACCACATGGGGCTCAAAGAACTAAAACTAGAGAAGACTCCTAAAAGAAATAAAACAAGACTCTTACACCTTACTTCGTATTTCGATATATATCGAAGAGCATGCGCGATCAGAGACAAATAAAAAAAATGGAGATTTCTTGCTGATAAGGAATTTTGATGGGAGAATTGCATTTGAAGACGTAATCAATGCAATAGAAGACTTTGACATCGGATATTACATCGGGAGTAGCGATTACGGTGGTAGTGTCTATAGAGCGCGATTGTGAAATGGGAATATCGTGGCATTGAAGAAACTTCACCGTCCTGATGCAAAGGACCCATCTTTTGATAACAAGATGCGAAACGAAGTGAAACACTTGATGGAAGGCTGGAAAATTGGTCCATGACCTTTCCCTTACGATGGGTTAGAAATTTTTGGGGCCAAGCATCACCAATAAAAGGGTCACAAAACCTTACCAACAAAAAAAATAAAAGGGTCACAAAGACCATGACTTCCTATGAACCATTGAACACGGACCTATCCAAAAACCAACGCACGTGAAACCCCAGAAGATCTGTGACTTCCTGATCGATGTGTACAGGTTCCATGCATGCTTGCTGGTTTAAAATCTTTTTTCTTAGTATGGTATGCTGATTTAAATTCTAATCGAATCATAAACTGCCAAATTTAGAGATTGCGTGAGTAGAATAGAATATACTACTTGTTAGAAAATTTGTGCTACAACTCTAGAAAATCAATCACTTAAATTACATCGGCGATTTTCCTTACTTGAAAATCCATTGTGGCATTAATTTAATATTAAAACATCTGACGTGACTCGTCGCAAAGTAAAGTCACGCAGGAATTTTCATCAAAAAAATTATCGATGTAACTTAAGTGATTTGCTTTTAAGACTTATGACAGTTAAATGATCGCATAAATAGCTATCGCATCAAAGTGAGTATTGTACAAAAATTACGACATTATTAGTATCTTTATCCCCTCCAATTTTATCAAGCAACCGAGGGTTGGAAGCCAGGAAATTCAAGCGATGTCACAACAACTGGCTTGAGATTTTATCTGTAGCAATCGTTGATTTTATTTTGCATGATGTCCTACATAACTTGAAATTTAACTTCTGTTAAGGTAGTTAGAGCAACTCATGGGATATGAGCTAATTTTATTTACATTGAGCAATCAAACAAGTTACTAGCTCATGGGATATATGGGTAATTGACTTGCTATCACAATCCCGAAAACCTTGACACATAGTCCAAAATAAAGTTATTAGTTTCTTTTTTTTTTGTTTTAATGACAATACAAAAGTAATCAGACTGTTTGACTTAAACAAATATCACAAATGCACATAATTTGCATGTTCATATATATCTTGTAAAGCTTTGGCCATAGTGTGACTAACGAGATTTTTCTGAACGTGAGACAGTAGGATAGAATCCATCGTATATAAATTAAGCGTTTAATCACTTAACCAATAATTCGAGTTTTTAAAACAAAATGATTCGATTAAGATGAAAGTTATGACCAAATTATTTCGATCACAGAGTCGTTTTTCAAACAATCATTCTTGATATTAGATGTGAAGTCCATTAGGCCCCTCTATGGAGACAAACTAAAGTAACGCGTGTTTCACAACAACGAAGACTTCAAGTCGTCTCGAAGAACAAGACGAAATGCCGGAGAAAAAAGTAAACAAAATAGTGATTCTGGGATTCTCTGTGATCCATCCGAAGGAGGACAAGTTATAAGTCAATTACCCTTTTATATCCCACAAGTTATTTCTTTTTCTTTCTTTTTCTGGTCGGCCACAAGTTGTTTCTTTGGATTGCCCTTATTTGATACACAGTCTTTGGCCTGCGTGGGTGCTGAAACTTGGATTT